TTAGAAATCTTCGACCAATCGGGAATTATTTTTTCGTTACGAAAATCAATGAGCCTGTCATTTGACAATCTTTACGCAGTGATCTCCCCTTAATTTTTCGGCGTTAATGTACATATGAAGAGAAGTAACTGCTTCGAGGAGTTTGGACTACTTTCGGCATTTGCAAATAAGAACATCAGGGTCTGAAATTTCGCTACCATTATTTGTTTGGTCTGACGACCCAAACAAATAAAAAACGTCCCCAAAACGGAAAATAAAACAAGTCGAAACTCTTACTTAGACACACACATTTGCACAATAGGTGGCGCACATGTTCCCGGTAGGTGCTGATTCTTTGTGATCTGACGTTTCAACGTTTACCGACGGAAAAGCTTAATGTGTTAATATTAACATGATAGCAGATGTCATATTGCAATATAGTAAGAGTTGGTCTCAAGGACGACAAGACTAAGGGTTACAATCTCATCTAAGCAAAAGGCAAAATTGATGTTCTATTTAGAATGAACGTGTAAAGAACTCAATATGGACGATGACACCAACATACTCCGATGCTTTAACTATTCCCTTACCCATGTCGAGCGTTCTTCTGCTCCTGAACAAACGCATTGTAACAGATTGTAAAATGATTCAGATTACAAATTCTACAGTCAAGAAACAATGGGAATAATTACCGACCCCGTTATGATAGTTGGCGGCAAAAACCACCGACGAAGATAATGCCATTTAAGACAGCATGGTAACAATATACTTGGTCGGCCAAATGAGGGCAGCAGCACTTAGAAGACAAAATGCAAGAAATGCGTGCTTTATTTTGTGAATAGAACAATATACCACACGCGTTGTTAACACTCGTCTGTTATGGAAAGGCAACCACAATCAATAACCAACTTTGATAAATACTGGTCGACAAAGGCATAACCTTTCAAGATCATGTCCCTTGTATTACGTCTGTGCGTTGTTATGATTAACAAGAATCTTTCTTACTTTAACAATAATTCAAATCTATACACAATTTCGAGCAAAACATCTTAGTTTCAAAACGACATAACACATTTTGATCATCTGAACAACAAAATAGGAACGAGTATCGCTAGGAAACACTTTTTTATTTACGAAATGGTACTATTTCTATTTTTATAAAAATTAATTTAATGCTGCTTAAATATATTGCTTTTCAGATAATGTTCTTTGTTTAACAACTGCTCCTTGTCATGATCATCAAGTGTCCCATGCTTGACATTGATATCTTTATAATAAAACCATTCAAGTGAATAAGCAATCTTTGAAAAAAAGTCTAAATTAAAAAGGGGCAAACCACTTGCCTCTCACCGCCTTTTCTTGTTGATCTTGTTTATCATATTGAATTCCGCCATGGACTATGAACTACAGAACGTCGGTCGTTTTTCTCAGGTGTTTTTTTGTTCGTGCCTGACATGAAGGATCATGTGAGGTTTTTCATCACTAGTAAACTGTAAAGTCGCCATGTGACTGTACTGTTGGTGCAACGTAACAAAATCATAACGACAAAAATATAAGCAACATTACCCATTAAGTAATTTCTTAGTATCTTTATTCAAAGGATATATTGCTAGATTAATCAGCACATTTGGGAGAGATAAATCAAAGCTCTTATAGCATGCATTTGCAAGAAAAAAGAGTTGTTAATTTTTTTAAGCTTATCATAGCTTTTCTTTAAAAATAAACTAACAAAAATTAATGTTTTATTTTACATTTCTTACATTGGATGTATATAGTACGTAAACTGGATGATGATGGTGGTGATGATAATGATGATGATGATGTAAAGACTTATAGCGAATTAACCGAGGTATGTTTGATATGTATTGTGAATTATACTACAGCGCGATTATACTTTCCACTATTTGATAGATGTTGATACGCCTAAATAGTAATATTCAATATCTTAATAGAGCTTGTATAAAAAATTGGAGGAGAGAGAGAAGAAATTCTAACCGGCACAAAGTCAGTAAAAAATACAGTTAAATCTGGCCGACCTGTGACTTCAACAGACAACACAAATATCTCAAAAATAGTGAAATAATTAAAAAGCGAAAACAGATATACGATTCACGATATTGCCAAAGGTGTTTGCATATCGCTATTACCTGTGTAATTCATTCTGAAAAGTATTTTGAAATAACGAACGATTTCTGTCAAATGAATTATCCATATTTTGACAAATAAAATAAAAATGGTATGAGTACAAACAGCTAAGCAATACCCAATGTTTCCAAGCTGCTATCAAAGATAATTTGCAAACGTTATTTTTAACGAACATGGTTCACTATTTCAAACCATTCAGAAAATGTGTAAACAAAATATAACAGATGGCATGTAGTTGCCAAAAGGACCATAAGTATAAAGGAAGCCCGTTATAATGGTAAAACCGTACAAATTCCTGTGCTGTAGGACAAAAGTCTTACAGGTCGAAATCACCCAAAGGTTTCTGTGATATAAGCTCAAGAAATATTATCAGAAACGAGGTCCTGTATCAGGTTTTAGGCATGTTTGTCTACTTCATGATAATAATGCGTCACATACATCTAAGCTTTTGAAGCAATTTTTGAAATCAGAGGTTACGTTCTGCCACACTCGCCATTCTCTTCAGATGTAATCTCGGCTCCTTTCTTGTCTTCCGCTTATTTCCCGTTGTCTTCTTATAGCATCTTCTCTTTCCCGTCGTTGTCTTTCATTTCTTCGCTTTCTCAGTAACTCTTCCCTCTCTTGTCTTTCAAGTAAATTTTTCATCGGATCGGTTTCATTTTTGAGAACTTTATTTACTGTACACCATTTATTGTACTTTATGGATATGCTCGCTTGAAATCTGCTGTAGCCTCAAAATCTCAGTATAAAGAGGCTTGCAAAAATACATAAAAATATAAGCATTAATACCAAGTAAGTTATCTGCTATCTCTTATTAAAAAGATCTTTTGCGAGATTCATTAAACCTCAAGATTGTTAAAGGAAAGGAAAGACACAGGGGATGTTTATTGTTTGAAACTGATCATAGGCGTTCTCAAATATCCTTTAGGCAATTTTTTGTACCATTTTACACAGCATGTGTAAAGTACTTATACTACATGACGACAAAAAAGACTGAAATACCATAGCTATGATACTTAACACTGATTGATTCTCATACAAGTATTCTTCAAATGTGCGCATTATTTAAACAGTTCGTATTATTACTACTTGTCTATTAACATACCATTGTTTTGTTAAACCTTAAAATCTAATTTTCAAATTCTTCCGGTTTTGGAATTGCATTTCAATCTGTTCGACAATATATTTGAGTTAAATGTAAATGATCTGTATCTATATTTTGAAGTAACTATGGGTCGATATATACCAACGCAGAGTGACATTAGTCTGAAACGTGAAAAAGCATGTTTTTATGTATTTTTTTCTCAAATCTCGTAGGAGGTACGTAAAAATATGTCAGACGAGTGCAACGTTAGACGTTTTAATAACTCAAATTTTACCTTGCTTTTCAAATGAATTATTGACGTTTATTCACTACTGTACAGTTTACAAGATATACAGAGAACAAAATGCTATTATATTGCATTATTTAACATATTTTATTTTAGTTCGATTTGAATGGAAGCTTTAGGATAATAGAAATACTTTCGAATTCGTTCCTGATACACCTAGCCATAACTAAACATTAAGTGAAAATGTCTTCCTTATGAAAACAACGGATTGTCCTTTACGGGGTTTAAAATCGCATAGCCAACTACCTAACATTACTTTTCCGACACAATTACCATTCAGCTACACTCACACTGTCATATATATTTATTTATCTATGTCTTAATATGCCGTACGTTTGTCTGTATATATTTTAATGTTTATGATCGCTTTCGTTTAATATATAAAAAGTATAATGATTTTGTTTTCCTTGTTTAAAAAATATCAATATTTTATCTTTGCCTAACTCCCGACGTTATCCTTGCTTAGCTTGTTTTCCCGACTTTCACAAAGAAGTAAAAAAAATCTCTAATTTTTTAAAATATAAAAAACTGTTACTTTTCAGTCGTGAATATCAAAACTTACGTATGTAAATTACATAAAGAAAAATATCCACATTTTTACACTTCCGAGTGACATATTTGTCATATTAATTAAAACAATGTCGATGGCACAACTTTTGCCGAACTCCAGTCGTCATCTTCTTTACGTGCCTCTGTATCAAACGATTTGCAAAAGTATTGTTGAATAATAAGGCCTTAGTGAGTAAGAACAATTCAATATGGTTCACATCAGATACAGTAGTTGCTATGCCACTTCTCGCCATGAATGAAAATGTTAATCTAATAATTATGGCCAATATAAATAATGTGATTGACAGATATTCATCAATTAGTAATTTGTTGGTGCGAAAGTAAGCTATATAATTGAAGGTAAGGTAAGTAACAAGATAAAGTGTATATTTGAAATAAAAGAACACACAAGGTAAGATATAACATTATTTACACCCTTTGAGAACTATACGACGATACAAATGGCATGACACAAAACTATAATATTTAGAATACCATAATTTCCGACATATGACAAAAATCCACACTTTTCCTTTTTATTTGTTAAGATCCAATTGAGCCAGTACCATAGGGTGTAAACGATAGCTTGTGTAAACACTGCCGTCCATTTTGACTACATTTTGTATTTTATTTCCTAATTTAACAAGATATAAAACAAAACAAAAATATATATTTGTAATCATATTATCTATTATGTATGAATGGAATTAATGTTAAACCAACTTTTTACGACTTTATAAGCAGAGAAGTTATCAAACATTTGTTTTTGCAATGCAATACTTCTCGATAGTTACTTCTCGATAGTTACTTGAATAACCAACAGAAACATGAAGTGAAATATAATAACCAATTCATGTTTTCTTTGAAATCCAATCGTTTTTAAAGATCCTGGTTTTCAACTACTAGACATAGAGTTATATAAATCAAACGGATAAGCAACAAAAATCAAGCGTTGGTCTAAGTCAAATAAGTGTGTGTTTAATAGAGCAAATAACGTAAATAAGTCAGTTTTTTTACAGTATGACAAACGTCGAACTATTTTCCACGTGTCGATATGTGTACTGCGCTTCATTACGTCTTCTCAACTCAGCAGCAGCCCTTTCCCTTTCTTGTCTTTGCCTTATTTCGCTTTGTCTTCTAATTGCATCTTCTCTTTCCCGTCGTTGTCTTTCTTCTCTCTGCTTTCTCAGTAGTTCTTCCCTCTTTTGTCTTTCCAGTAAAGTTTTCATCGGATCAATCCAATACAGTTGTAGCCATGACATTTTGAATGCCATGATTTTTGACACTCTTTTCTGTTGTCCACCGATCATTATGGACCCAGCGACCAATAAGTTATTTCTCACTGTCTCTAAATCAAAAAACTCATTGTTACAATCACCACAAATATTGTCGTCCTGGAAGATGCACTTGTTCAAAAGAACATCCGGCTTTAACAATAAGCAAAGACTGATGAGCAGGTTTGTATCTGATTGTGTTAGCATGTAGTAGTTGTGATATTGACGTAATCTGTTCACATCTGGATTGTCATCAAGTTTCAGTACCGAGCACATGCTGTTTAAATAGTACACAACCTCGCATTTGGGTCGTTAGGGACGTTTACAGTTGTCCCTGTTTTCCTTAACCCAATTTCCGTTCTGTTAAAAAGTGCCATCGCTTTACCCTGTGCTTATTATACTACAGAATATTTAAACACTCCGATGAATAACGCATAACTGATAACGTGAGAATAGTAATTGCTGTTTTACAGCGTTGTGTTTTATATGAACATTTTGATTGGTTGAGATTGTTTCAAATTCAAATATAGAAACTGTTTATGTCTTGAGCTTTCTTAACCAAAAATATCTAATTACGGGTTAGGAAGCTTGTTTCCAAATATGTTAATAGTTTTAGAAAAAAAACGCACGAAAACAAAAGAAACTTAAACGGAAGTAATTGATATAATAACCAGCAATGAAAAGTTAACTGACGTCATTGAACATTCACGTTCGTTTTCAACGCACATATGATGACTGTCCGCTGAAAGAATAGCATGTCCAAAAAAAACGTGGCAACGACCGATAATTTGAAATCCCTTTTTATTGGATGTAGGACAAATTTTCGCGTATTTCGCTATTGGAAAAATGCGCGAATTAATGTCCCGGCTAATTTAAATCCAAACAAGATATTAAAATGCGTAGAACTGTCTATACCGTCATTGTCGTTCTTAGTTGGAAGATTTTGGTACACAAAAGTAACATTATTTGTATATCGTATTTGTTCTAAGTTCTATGAAACAAAAGATAAACAACAGTATTACACTTTTGCATCAAGCTCGGAAAATTGCCTCAAGAAGCGATGGAAAATAAACATTTAGCGTATTGTATGGTGAAAAAACTGTTAATAGAAGACTCTCTACAGATGTTATGAACAATTTTTAGGGTGGACGAGTCACTGGATGATCATGCAAAGACCATTAAAATTGTTTGATGTCTTCGGAGCTGCAATATGTCTATACAACATTTGAGAAAGGCTATCTTTTGTATCAAATGCTGTTCATAAATGCAGTTCAACTACGAATTTCATGTTAAAGCACATGTTAATTCATTGAGATTTTAAAAAAGGAGATACTTTTTAGCCAGTGATAAATTTTCAAAATAATTGCCATAATTGTTGTAGTCGTAACAATACCATTTTTGCCTCTAAGCTTTTTCGGAAATGAGGATATCCTTTGGATAGCCTACTCTGTCAAAACAATTATGCAGAGGTGTTTTAAACGATTCCTCGAAAAGTGTAAAACAATATCAAATTTTAAAACCTTTATGTAAATATTTTATACTTTTAATGTTTAAGTCTTCCGGTTTTGGAATTGCTGAAAGTCTTCCGGATTTGGAATTGTATTCCAATATGTTTTTGTTTTTATTTCAATCGATATCAACTGGTTTTTTTTAATATGATAAGACACGAAGTGTAATGCAATAGGTATGCGCTAAGTTTTGTTTAGTATAACCACTGCACTTGGTAGAGAACATATATATCTAATAATTTAAAAAGGATATTTGAAATGCAAATTGAGTCGTATAAATTATGTTAAAGTTATAACACGAATAAATCAATAGAATACTGAAAACGATTTGGCTCACATATACTTTAGATCTCAATTTTGTAATTTTGCACATGTTTGGTTTCGAATTCACCATTTGGTTGGTAAATGTGTGCAATATAAGATGTATGCTGAAACAAATTGACCACAGATTGCATTAAATACCAAAGCAAAGATTAGGAACAAGATTGGCCATTTTTACTTCTACAACATCCGAAATTCGGACATTTAACATAGCTTTTCTAAGTGTTCGAGTTTCCCATTGTTGGCATATCTGTAAAAGGTGAAAGCAAATAAATCCTGCAAAGTCATCATCATTAATAAGGTTAGATACAAGTGAGATGAAGTGTTCAAACATGTAACCCAACCCTTGCAATAAATAACTTCAGTTACTAATTTGTATTTGTTTTCAATAAGTGCTGTACGTCTTATACTTATTTATTCATTGATTAGATTACAAAATTATGAACAATAAAACATGTTTTGATTCTCCTTATTCTTTTCAAGACACTTCAGTTTTGACTCAAGATATTGTAAATCATCAAATTACATCAGAATGGATTGAAAATAGCTATATCTCTTTTAGAGTAACACAAAACGCTTTGTCACGTATAATGGTTGTTTATATTTATTTGTTCACTGATTAACGTAACTATGAGGAGTGTTTTTCTCAACCCGGATGTCTTAAAACATGTTAGGTTGACTTTCATATTTTTTATTCTTATCGTATGTGAATCATGTCCACGGTCCAACTGAAAGAGAATTATTTCATAACACTAAACAAGGCTTAAAGTCAATACATTTGTTTTCTGTCTGCTGATGATCTTATTTATATTGCCCAGCCAAAGTCGAAACGAGTGTAAAAGAAAGAGACATGGCATTTTTTAATAGAACTGAAGTTGGACTGAAGGACATATCCACGAGAGCAACAGTTCCGAATGACCCGAAAGCAAAATTGATGTACTATTTAAACTGTATGTGTACAGTACTAAAACTGGATGATGACGATGATATCAACAGACTCAGACGCTATAACAACTACTATACCCTCAACCGTACTGATACAAGCGTTCTACTTCATCTTTGTATACTTTTGAAACCGGACGTGCTCCTAAACAAATGCATTTTTCAGAACGACAGATTATGCGGTGATATGGGAAACAAATTCTATGATCTGGAGACCGTGCGGAATAATTTATTAGTAGCTGGGAGCGTTATGATTGGTGGGAGGCAAAAACGGGTGACAAAGATCATGACCTTTAAGATGACATGGCTTCGTGCTAATTGGGTAAACCCAATGCAAGTTCTCCTCCAACGGCAAAGGCAAGAGAGAGCTGCAGTACTCAGACAACAACAAACAAGCTATGCATGCGTTATTCTTTGACATGTAATACTATTGTGTATATAGAACATGTTTGTGACATTGTTTCTGCTATAACTTCTGTGTGATTTGCTATTCGTTTTACAGACATTCGTCATTCAATTGATAATCGGACTTATATAAAGAGTCTTATGTGAAATAGCCTAAGTATATTTCATGTTATAATGAAATAATTTTAAGTTACTTACCGCATGTAATAAAACACGATTCTGTGATAACACTGTGTATGATATAATAATTACAAAATTTATTTTAATGTATCATGTTTTCTAAATACATACTTATTTATAGTGAAATATGAAAAAAATATTGTTTAACCATTTTGATTATAAAATATATATATCAGTTGCCTTTCCCTCGTTGAAGATTTAAATGTCTCAGCTTAATATTGCCAAACAATAATTTACTATTAAAATACAGCTTAAAAGCATTGAAATAATAAAGTAGGCATGATTTGTTAATGAAGCTATACTAGCTCTAAATGGCCCTTGATTGGAACATAAAACACTTCCAATCAAGCAAGTATTGACAAAAATCAATGTAAATAATTTTTATAGCTAAATTTAAAAGCTGACAGAGGAATTACATTCAAAAGGCAATAATAACCTTTTCAATATTTCATTTTATTATATCCTTGACACAAATACGAAAATAATAAAAATTTGCCATCTTGTTTAAAAATTATGGAAAATTTAAGATAATGTTTGTAAGTCATGCAACAACAACAAATCAGTTAAAGAACTGTTTTACTTATTTCATCTTTATTTAATTTTAGAACTGGTTAGAAAAAAACAATAGCTTTAAAATAGTTTGAAACAAAACCATAAAGAATACATATCTCATCTGCAAAAAAATGGATATTAATTGAAACAGGTATACGTCAGATCTGATAAAACAGAAAGAGGGTGGGTTCAGAAAGCTATATGCTTTTCCTCTATTACTCTATTAGTCTATATAAACGAAGTTGACCCCTTGGCGCGTCTTCAACATGAGAAGACAGTCATAAGCTTTATAGCTTTATGCCCACTCCCAAAATGTACTTTGTAAACATTGTTCACTTGTTAAATGTTTTGTTGAATAAATATGTTTAAACCAAAACATTTGACCCAAGGATCATGATTTTTAAGACTATGAAGTGATGCATGTCAATTATTTATCCTCTGGACAAAAGCAATCAAGAAATTTAATATATACGTCTATGTAAACTAAGTGACCTCATTGAGTGTATCTTCTAATAAAGATTTCTAGCTTAACATTTGCTACTGTAAAATCACTTAAAAATCACACCGTGACGTGGAAAAACCACCAATACTAAAATTGAAATTCATTTAATCAAATACAACTTTTGCTGCATCTTTTCTACCTTAATGTCAAAAACATAGCTATGATGAAATTTAAACAGAAAACAGCTTAAATTTAGAAGTCTATGGCTATGCAGAGTGAAAAAAATAGTGTCTTATAAACTGTACGTCATTACGCGACAAGGCCAGTTTGCTCCCGCGCTGGTTCCTTACACAAAGCGATGCTCGATATTTCACCGTGAAATCTTGTGGTACGGGATATTTCGACATTGCGAGGTCTCGTGTTACAATATCGTGCCTCGCTATGTGTCTCGTCAGAATATTGCGTCTGGTCCGATTCTACAGGCCCTATATTCCATAATTATGCATTAACCGGATTTTTTTAGGAGCTTATGCATGTTTAAGTGTTTATCAATGGTGGATCTGAAAGCAGCAATTCCTGGAAATGGCGGTATATGTTTTATATATTTCTAATGAAAACAAAATACGTGTGTGATGGTCTTCTCATCTTCTTCCTTACAGCAATTAGGGGTCTCCGTGGCCGAGTGATCTAAAAATAAAACACCTGCCTAAAACCGCTGTAGGCCCGACACTCACCCGGGCGTCGAACTATTCATGCAATGAGTTTATTAAGTTAAATTCTATGGAAGAATGTAAGACAAATGTGCTTCGAGTGTCATTTCTATTGTGTGTCGAACAACTCTGCCATATTTCCAATTTTTCGCAAGAACACATCATGTTCTTGTTGTTGCTAAAAAAATATTTATTCTATTGATGTTCTATGTGTTATTTTTTCTATTGTTGTTGTTGATGATGATGATGATGTTGTTGTTGTTGTTGTCTGTGGTTGTTGGTGTTGTTGTTTTTGTTCCTGTTGTTGGTTTTGTGGTTGTGGTTGTGGCTGTTGTAGTTGTTGTTGTTGTTGATGATGTTGTTGTTGTTTTTGTGGTTGTGGTTGTTGTTGTTGAT